TATGGTTGCTGCTGTTGTCAAACAATTGTCACAGCGTGTTGGTATTCACACGAACTTTATGTTTGTCAACACCTTTAACATTAACAGAGAAAACTTTAACAGATGGAAAAGCGTTTGCCCTTTTGCCAGCCCCGCAATTTAATCAGAGCCCGTCCTACCAGGTAGTCCCCCAACTGCCCCCCTTCCCATCCCCCATAGTCGGTGCATTTCCCATGAAGATGGGCAAGCAACCTACCGCATTGCCAGCATTAATAACATTTTTGCTGTCTTGTCAAAATTAGCGGCAGTTTTCAATCAAAACTGAACAACAATCAGTTAAATACAAACCCCTCCAATGCCTTTGTGCTGCACAACTCAAGTGGCCCTTTCATATTGAGTGCTTGATATACTTATTGTGCAAAAAATACAAAGAAGAAAGAACAAGAAGAGAGCACATCTTGTATGCGGACTGCATCGATAATTGGATGCTCTTTAAAATTGCTTTTGAGACACATATACAAGTAGTATAGCTTTTTATAGTTAAAACACTAGTAATTATTAAAAGCAAGATAAGTATACCTGAATGACAATTTAGAGCTTACGTGTATAAAAGTAAAGTATTTCACTTGCATTGAAAATAATTCTTTTAAAAATTATCTTTACAAAACTACATGTTTTTATAAGAGCAATATAATAAAATTGTTATATATTTTATAAATATAATTTATATGCTTTTAATGTAATTTATTAAGGTATTTAATTTTAGACAATTTTGCTTTACAAATATGTTTTTTCGTTGGTCTGTTTTGTAATAATATTTTTGTTGAATATGAAAAATCTTTTAGTATATTTAGGTCTATTTTATTTTTTAGAAAATAAAATATATTCTAAAATTTTGAAACTTATTGATTTCATTAGTTTTAGTTAAAAATAGTATTTGTGTAGAGGAAATACAATTTGAAACTTTTTACAACAAAACCCATTAAATCAGCCCCCAAGAATGTTTTCAATAAACGCTGAAAATATTAAAAATTTACTTACGTTTTTCGTCATTTGGAGTTGAGATGTTATTGCTTTAAAATAAATTTGTCTGAAACTTATAGCTTCAATCACCAATCAGTTAGTCAGACAATCAGCCAACCCGTTTGATGTACTAGGTAAATAGTTTTTGAAATGACTTTATATATTAATGTTTAAAATATATGTTTTTACAATATTTATGTTAATGTTATAATTATATGTTATAATTAAATGAATAAATTTTTCTATAATTTAAAAACCAATCGCAGTAATTACTTTTCTAAGTACAAAATTCTTATTTTGTTGAGCATTTTGTCGCAAAAACGTGAAACATTGTTCAGGTAAGGGTACAAAATTGTGCCACTCTCGGTTTCAGAGCTCGACTTTGTGGCTAATGATGAAGAGCAAAATGTGCATTGAATGATCTGGCGTTGCATTGTTGTTATTGTTATTATTGTAATTGTTGTTATTGTGTTTGTAGTATAGCTAGCCGCAGCATATAAATTTATCATTATATTTATGGCACACATTTTTGGCGCAAAAACACTTGCGCCTGCTGGCTGGAGCTGACAAGCGGAATATCTTTTTTCTCGCGCACTCAATCGTACGATCGAACGAACGATCGATCGATGGATGGATGGATGGATGGATGGATGGTATTGGCTTGTAGTGCCTTTGAATAGATCACTCAAGCGCGCCAACCGCAATGAATTATTGATGAAGTGAAGTGAGTGAGGCAAAAAGCGTAGCATTGTGCCGCCGACAGAGCCAAAGAGCCAAAGAGATCCCCGAAGGAGAGCGCGAGGAACTCGCCAAGTAACTCACTTTGTGGCACATTCGACTTAATGTGGCAAGCAATGTTCCAGTGATCAATCGATTGATTGCAGGAGCGCCTGACTTTGGCCAACATTTGGTGACTTTGTCAACATTATGTCGCTCAGTTAGTCAGTTAGTCAGTCAGTCAGTGTAGTCAGGGTAGTCAGCGAACCTGTCCGGACACCGTCCACACACTCTTGTGATATATTGTTTCGGTAGCATTTTGTTAAACGTGATCAATTTTTAATTACCCATCATCCATCGATGTCGTATCAATCGTACCGCAGAATGTAACTTGCGTTTGTCGCATGTCATTCAACGATTTATGCGCTCAACTTTTGAGCGACTTTAATAAATGTGTTTGCCCCTTTTGGAGTCGCTTGATTGGAGCTGCCAGTTTCTGTCCCACTGTCCATAGGCTGTCGCCTGTTGCTGTGTGCCACTGTATGTGTGTGTGTGTACGAGTATGTGCGTAAAATATTTAATTAGTTCGGTCTAATTAACACTTGACACATGGATACTGCCGCGGAGTGGCGGCCAATGGTTCGGAAGCGTGCCACAAAGGCGTCAACATCAAAAGTATTGGGTGCTACAATGTATTGGGCTGTGATTAGGCGTCTAAGCTGGGAAAAGTGAGGAGAAGAGTAAAATTGAACTCTATTTTAAGCACCCTTCTATAAAGTTCGATTAACTCGAAGCAAATGTTTAAATTGAAGCTAGCTTTTGAGGGAACTCAAGCCGTATCTCACCTTCGCCTATTTAAATAACAATAGAATACCAGAATTCTCTATACAAAACATTATCGTATTATAAGTATTATCGCACCGATAACTGATTACTAAATCCTAGACTAAACATGTACTTATACTTGTACACTTAACATAGTACGAATACTGTTCTAATATTTATAGAAAAATGTGACCTCCAGACCTGAGTACTATAGTTACTAAGATACTTGCACTCATAGTTGAATGTAATTTATAAATGCCTTTTAATTTTGTAAATAAATAAACAAAAAACAATAAATAACACTTTTAAAGCTGTTTTTGTTGGGGTTCCTAAAAATACGAAGACTTGAGTGGACAGAATAATGTCTTGAACGAATAAATTCATTAAATACATAAAATTAGATTTCAATTTTAAATAAAAAATATATAGATAGAAAACCAATTGCATCGATTGCAACGTTAGGGTCGTTTCATTTTGACTTTTGAATACCCTTTACTCAAATAAACGTATATTTCTATAACAGCTGTATGATCTGTAAGCTATCTCCGATTTTGATGAGACTCTATTTTATTTTTTTTTTATTTATTTATTTATGTCAACAAACATTGACTGTCGACATAGGAAATAGTTCATAAAAATTATAAAAAGCATCTTATAAGCTAGAAAAGCCTAAGAAGGAGAAATCTAATCACATTATAATAATATCTAATTAACGCCTCCGACCCGGTGGGGGAATATTATTTGCCCTTCGGCTAGCTCTAATTTGGAGACTTTCTATACAAAACTCAAAAATAATAAACTTCCCGAAGATATCTTCATAAGCCAAATTGTTTCGGGTTATAAACCTTATTTCACCAATAATGTACTATAATAAAGTGAGCCTAAATTAATGAAATATCAGAATTTGACATTCTTAGGTAGTATAGAAAACAAATAAATATCCGATTAGCCTAAGATATCGATCCATAAAAAGCTATATAAAATAATAGGGATATATATGGTTTGTAATAAACTTTTCATGCGTTTGAATAAGAATAGTCTATATACGAAGTTGGAGGCCCCTAGCTGCTAAGGTGCAAAAATTTCTCGAACCAACAAATGAAATGACAGATTGATTCGTATATCATATATACCTTTATACCTACAAGTACATGTTGCATCTGCCACGTCTCCTTCTGTCTAATATTATATTTTGCGTTTATTTTTTCTAGAATAGCCCCTACACCTTCGAGTATAGAATTAAAAAAAGTACATTTAAAGCAAAACTTGAACAAGTATATTTGCTATAGTAATTTTCGAGTTGAAATAAAGTACTATATACTATAGTACAAACTTAATATACTTAATAACTACACGAAATTCTGTTTTTACACGGTAGATTGGTTCCAGAAACAACCGTGTAAAAAAAGAATTAGGTGATTAGTTCCTCCTAAAGAAATATACTTGTATATGCAACTTTTTATTTTTTAAAAATAAATAAAAAAAATGAAAAAAAATCGTGTAAAAACAGAATTAGGTGTACCAAGTTCAGTTTCAACAACATTCAGATTTTATTAGTTTTTTTTATATAAAGTGACATTTTAACGCTTGTTTTCAGTACAGATTTAACACCTGCAATATAAATAAATGCTTTATACCTTAAAGCCAACTGGAAAGCGTCTGACCCAGCTCCGACTGCTGGCTACAACATAATTTTCGAGAGCGCCCTCCGGGCATGCAACTACATTTGAACTCACGCCCATTTCGCCACCAATCTGAGGTCCGTCCAGAAGGCAACAAAAATTAAAGTGAACGCCCCTAGCACGCGCCAAAAGACCAGAAGACCAGAAGACCAGAGGAAGAACAGAAGGAGCCCGGGCATATCTAAGTTTTGAGATGCCAGGCTGGCTGCCAAACTCTGTCTGCCACTTGAGAGTTTTGTAGATGCGTTCGCTTTCGTGTTCGTGTTCTTGTTGCCGTTGTTCTTCGACTTTTATTTATTTTGGTACGTGCGCTGCAACAAATTAAAAAGTAATTCTATGCGCAGCATAATTAGCTGCTAAGTGACACTAATGGGCCTCGGGGTTTTTCTGGTCTGGTCTGGTCTGGACTGGCACTGCACTGCACTGCACTTTCTGGCGTGTTGTGTGGGCAATTGAAGTTCTTGTGGACCAGCTTTACGTTTTTGGTCGAACTAATTGAATTGGACCATGCACATGGCTCCCATTTGGCTGCCAAGTACTTATGGTTGCTGATGTGGCTGCGATTGATAAGTCCGATGAAAGCAAAGGTCATTATTCTGATTCAATTTATGTGGCAAGAGTGTTTTGGTGGTAGTGTTTGGGTATAGGGGAAAACCGAAAATGTTTGACAACAGAGTTACAATGAAGATGTTGTCATAGCTTTAAGGCAGCCAAATACAGACATATGTATATATACATATATTATTCAATTCATAATACAAGAAAGCATATACAATACAAAATAGGTAATTGGTAGGAAAAAAACACAAAAAAAAAAGAATCAAGCATTTCAGGAGAATGGTAAGTTAATGTTAAATGTAAGTTATAATAGACTAACCGATTTATAATGTCTTCAAACATAGCACATGAGTCGCGATGTGCCGCCGCTGTTGAATCGAACTATTTATAGCGGCATGGCGAAGGATTTGGTCGACTGTCGGCCCACCAGTGGAAGTAGCAACAGTCTCAGTGCACAGCCGTCGGCCACAATTAGAACCGACAGCGACCCTTCTGAAAGTCCTGAGCAGATCACCACAGATGATGATGAACTCGGTTTCAATTCGGGCAGCGAGTACGTGGAATGGGATCGCATTGCATACGAGCGTGAACGAAAGAGGCAGCCATTAAATAAATTCCAGGACACTAGTCCCTCAAAGAACAGCTCCTCGCTCGCACTTCATCCAACTGCTTCTGATGAAAAGAGCCTCAGCAGTTGCTGGAAGCGTGCCGATTTGAGTGTCACACAATTTCTGAAGGCCCAGGATGAGGCTGCCGAGCAAAATAAAGAATCGTCGAAGCAGCTCAAGGAAAAGGTGTCCAAGCGCAACTTTTTTCACAATGCAGAGGCGCAAAGTCGTTGCTACAGCATCGTGGATCATGGAAAGCGTGTCAGTTGTGTTTCCTCGGGCAACTCTGAAAAAGCAAAGTATGCCAACAGACCCATAACGAAGGAACAACTAACTGAGAAGATCCCACAAAGCACAGTCCCGCCCACATCGGCCCAAAAGACGTCCGATGTATTTAAATATAGAGAAATTTGCGAGAACTTTCTGAATCAATACAAGACATTGGAGGATGCCAACACGATGCAATATAGGACCAACTTAAAAACTGATTCCGAGGCCAACAAGCGTACCAAACGTACCGAACGCTGGGTCAGTCAGTTTGGAGAACCGGATGCCAATGAGAATCTGAACAGCGGAGTCCAATCTGAGGACATCAAGGGGCCTCGTGGTAGTATAAATACCGGGGAATATGAACGTGGAGACACTTCGGAGAGCGCAGCCAGATCGCCCACTAAAAATATTGTCAACTATAATACAATTATACAGGAACAGCTGGCACTAATGGCTAAAGACTCTGAATGCATAATGGAAGATTCCAACGGAATATCAGGCCATAAAATCCAAATGGCAATGAAGCGCGCTTTGAAAGAAGCTGGAAAACTCTTGATCAAGGAGAGATTCCTACAAAATTGTCGCAGCCAGTCCCAAATGTGTGATTGTAAGGAGGATTTGGTTGCGGATGCCCAAGATCGTGAACAGTCAAATGAAGAAAAACCCAAAAATGTGGAGAAATTATTTCAAAGGTGTCCCAGACATAGATGTAAGAAATCAAATTTTATTACCGAATTCAAAAAGATCATCCAGGCTTCCCGAAATCAAGAGAAATCGTGTGATTTTTCAGAAACAGCTGCTTCAGCTTCAGGTAGTGATGGGTTCCAACCCAATAAGAAGTATGATAGCAGCTCTGGGTATAAACTGAGGTCGAGCAGCACCGGCTACAGCTCTACTGAGAGCAAGAATGTGTCCAACTCCACACATTTCACACCCGAAGGTACATATTTTCGCCACCATAGCTCGTGTATTCATCATAGAACGTATAAAGATAGCGCTAATAGCCCCATTAACATAAAGCGGATGCACCAGATGAATATTCTAAAAGCATCTTCAAGAGCCAGGAATACCGAGAAGTGCTCAAACTCTACAATAAACGGAGTAATATCCAACTATACTGATAGTCACAGGTCCAGTAAGAATAATGAGCAAGAGATGAACACGAAAAGGTCTCCCTTAGAGTTGAAAGATGGAAGAAAAGCGTGGGGAGAAGCGAATCGCTTATCATCAAATAAAAATAAGGTTGGCAGATTAGAGAAGAAAGCTTCTCAAGATGAGGCGACAATGGAAACACCCGACGTCCACCAGGGTTCTTGTATACAAAAGACTGATCTTTCGACTTCTGCATCGTTAAAAATTTGCAAAAAGCGAGGCTCAGAGCCAGCCCATAGATTTACAAACGAAGATCAATCAAATTCGTCGTGCTCGAGAGATGTGCTCAGCCATTCTATTGACGGAGAAAGCGAGTTACAGAGTTATAAATCAAAAGGGTCTGTAATGCAAGATGCTGAAACTAATCTTCCAGATCTTGGTATATCGTCTTCTAAAGAATCAAAGAAGCACGAAAGAAGGTGCTCTTGCTCTAAAAAATTGCCCACCAGTTTCATTGGGGGAGAAAATGAGCCACAGATAAAATTAAAAGGCTCTCCTGCAAAAGTGAAGAAAGAAGAATATAAAGAAAGGGCTGAAAAGAAAGATTCTCACAAAACAGAAGAGCTTGAGAGATACAATTTGAAAGATCGTTTTGAAACCCCATCACAAGATAACAACCTTTATGATGCAGTTGAGAGTAAAATTCAGAAAAGCAAAAACAATTCTACTGGAACTTCTTCTTCGCCAAGACCCAAGAAACTCAGGGACAAGTGGGTTGACATGAATTATAAAAGTATAGCTGAGAGTCGAAAGATCTGTGCGTGTAATTTAAAAAGGGTAGCCAATGCCAATGATGACGGTAGTGAGCTAGAGAAGAGACTAAACGATAAAGTGTATATAGAAGAAATGACAGGAAGATTGTCAGCAAATCAATATGTCACCAATGATAAGATGAAAAATACGAACCAAGACCATGGTCAGATTTTCAAACTAGGTGCTGATGCTGATTCACTAGACATGAGTTTTTCAGACGATAAGGAATCAATGCAATATCATGAAAGATCTTCAAGAAGCGAGAAACTCTGCGAGAAGTGTCGCCGTATAGGCGGAACAAACAGATCGAATTTCTCTAGCTATGACAAAATGCCTTCGACCCACAATGAGAAAATGACTGAGTTGAGTATGAAAGCTGAAGAAAAGTCCCTAAAGGGAAAGAAGGAAAAGGCTCCAACAATGTCAGCAAAAGATTATAACTTGTATGCAGATAGGGAACTACTTAGTGAGCTACAGAGTTTTACTGTCATGCTAGATTCCGACTCTCAAGGAAAGAAACGTGGACCGAAGTGGATTCAAACTACAACCAAGAACCGAAGAAATTGTTCTTGCTGTGCACTTTCTAGTTCCAAGAGGAGTGAGAGTGAGATGGATTCTGAATTAAAAAGTTCAGTTTTAGACTCTACTAGAGGAATGCAAATGTCTTCAAAGGAAGTAAGAAAAGCTTCCAGTAAGAAGGATCGTTTAGAAACGATAACAAAAAATGAGGACATCTATGATACGGAAGAGGCAGTTATAGGAGCAGATGAAGACTACCAGGGCTATAATGAGAAGCTAGACTCTGATGAGGACAATTATTATCACTCAAACGACGAAGACTCAACACAAGCCAAGATCACTCCAGCTTCTTCTATAGCTGGCAAGAAGCGTGGAAGCCAATTGGCATCAACTAAGAATCAAGCAAACCCCACTTGTGAGGAGAAGGACTGTGAAATTGAGAAGAAAGTAAACAAGTTGTTCGCTATTACAGAAGAAAAGATAATTTCATCAAATGATCCAATAGTTGGCAGCTTGTCGAAGAAAGAGTTTCAAACAACAGAAGCAGTTGAAACACTCAAACAAGCGAAAGAAGAGAAAACTGTGCCGAAAAACGCATTGGGTCTTAACATCATTAATGCTGATGAGGCGCTATTGGATATACCCGAGGACTTCCAGGGTTACGCCGTCATGCTAGACTCTGATGCTGACATGCTAGACCTGAGCATATCCGACGATGAGGAGCAGATAAAAGCCAAGCTGACAGCTGCTGCCCTAACAACCGGCAAGAAAAACGGAACGAAGGTGACCCGGAACGTGTCCAAATATAAATATGTGCCATCCGAAGAGGAGCCACTGAAAAGCCGGACTTATGTGCCTCTAGAAATATTCTATAGACGCACTGAGGTGAACCGATCCGAACTGCTGCTCTGCGATGGCACCGACGACCCAATCGACGAGACCGAGCCCACCAATTATAGGGAATATGTGTACCAGTTGGCGGAGCGTACTTTGCGGGCTTGCGTCAAAGTCTACACTAACAAGCACGATGAGCTGAGACGGGAATCGAGGTTTCGGGAATCGCCACCGTATAGCTGCCAGTGGCCGACTAATCCAAAATCCGAAAGCGATCGCAATGAAGAAGCCAAGGTGTTTGGCCAGAAATTAAACAAGCAGCTAAAACAATTGAATCATGACTTTCAGGAGGGACTGCAATCGATTGGAAAGTGACACGACATGCCTTGAAATTCTTCACCAATTACGAATACAGCTCACCAACTACAAAGATCGAAAACAAAAACAACAACAAAATATATATATAAACATCAGCCACATACTAATAATAATTTGTTTATTGCACACGATTTCCCAACAGGACGAGAAGACAATGGGCACAACAACAACAATAACAACAACAACAGCAACAAAAAGAGAAGAAAAGAAAAGTCAATTGCAAAAAGCGTTTGCTCTCCGCTGCCATGCAGCTTGAATTTATGTTCGAGCCCCACATGATTTAAAAGCGCAACGAATGAGGTCGCAAGGTGCCTGCAACAGCATTGATGCTGTCTTTGTTGTTGTTGTTGTTGTGCGTCTTCTTATTTTTGTTGCTGTTGCATGGTCGAAACCGAAACTACTTGAAACTTTCAGCGGCATCAGAGCAGCGCCTTCAAGTCTGGCCATGCGCAATGCATAAATCAATTTTAGTGTCTAGCTGCACAGTGTACCTACAACAACAACAACAACAATAACAGCAACTAGGTGTAGTGTATGCGAGTTCGATGTGGTGTGTGTGTTGCTGTCTAAGTGTCTTGTTGAAGGCGTACGCTCAAGTGGTTCGACAAAATTGCAGCCAAGCCCTATCCAGAATAATTAGCTGGCCACAGCTACTGTGCCAGAGACATGCTGCACTCCTCAAAAATGTGTTCTAGCTTTTAGTTAAGAATCCTAGAAACTGCAAACTCTTAAGCATGAATGCTACTTGCAGTTAGCTTAAAAAATCCAAAATTTAATTAAAAGTAATGAACAGTAAGCGACAAAAAATGAGAAATTCGCCAGCACAAAAAATTTGTAATTCAAAAACAAAAATTCTAACATTTTTTTTTAGTGTTTCAGGCGTCAACGCGCGTTGCTGCCACAATGGCTGCCCGTGTTGCACATTCATTTTCCTCACACATACTAAATATGCAGCATGTTTACAAACAGCAGCAGCAACAACAACTACAACAACAAGAACAACAATAGCATCCAGTAGCAACATCTTTAGCATAAGCCCACAAATTATGTTGCGCTCCTTCCAGAAGCAGCTTGAAGTGCATTTTCGTTGTTGCATTTTATTTTGCTGCCTCCCCGATGCTACTTAATTGTTAACTAAACATTTCTAATTGTGAGCAGAGTGAGCGAAAATATTGTTTTAAGGCACATCAACATATCTTACACCACGAGTGATGCACACATATGCATAGGCGCAGCGAAACGGGGGACAGAATTGAATTATCACTCTATTAATTGTATAGTCTTGTTTGATAAGTATTCCCTCCTTGTAGTTTTTTGTTCTTGAAATAAAGTTACAATATGGATACAAGTTAAACTTCATTCTACCTTCAATGCAACTAGATGCCCACTACTGGCCTTTCAGAATGCTTCATGGTACCTTTTATTATCTCAAAATTAAGTACAGTGAAAACTCTGTTGGCCAGACACTCATGGTCAGCCAACTTTTGTCCTCCCAAGGGGAGTGTCCGCTTAAGGGGATTCTTAAATACTTTATACACAGATCAAATATTTAAGAAAAAGTGACCGCCGAAGAGAGTGTCCGCATAAAAGAGGTGTCCGTTAAGGGAGTTTTCACTGTATAGTAGACCATTGGATAAGTTTCTGTCGGGCTCCCCATTTAGGCTACCCGAAGTCGTTGGATCAGATTAGACTTATGGCTAAAGTACAGTTGCTGCAAATTTTAGAAAAAAACCAAACTGTCTGCTACAGAGATAAACCTTTAAGAATTAGTGAGAGCTCTGAAGCATTTCTAGATATAAATGCTGGCTCTCTAAATACGATAACTTTTTGGCCATTAAAGCATTGAAGATGTCTAAAGAAGCCCATCTATTTGCTTTCTACAAACTCCTAGTTTAAGTTGTATTTGTATTTTTTTATAAGTTTAATTTAAGTGTTTGTAAATAATAACAGTATAATTAAAGTTTTACATTTATAAAAAAAATAAAAAAAATAAAAAAATTCGCTTTCTACAACTTTGAATTAACTAATTCCTCTCACTTTTCAAACATTTTTTGAATAAAGTTTTTATTTAAGTTCTCATAACCCCTTTTAAATCAGTTGCTGGCTACACCCAAGTATGTATGCTTATGTGTGTATTATAGAGTGGGCGCTTTGCCAATTGCATTGAATGTATGCCCACTTTTTTTAGTTTTTATAATGAAGTGAGAAGAGATATGTTTATAATTTACGATATCTGCAGTGGAAACGTGTTGCTGATTGGATTCAGGGCAAGTTTTTGATGGGTTTGTAATACGCTGTTTCCCCTTAAAACTATTGCTTACTGTACTCAAAAAGTGTATTGAATATTTATAAGAATTAAAATAAAACTACTGCGAAAATTCCGTTGATTAAAACATTTTCAAATTTTTAAAGACATAACATAACATTAAAAGTATTGAAACTATCGCAAAGATCACTCAAAAAAGGATCAAAAGTAAAACTGCAACAATGTCTTTTCATTGGCTTTAGCAATAATGCAGCTTTCGAATTTTATACATAGAATTTATTTAAAAGCTTTAAAGCTATTGCAAATTTTGCTTAAAAAATTTTAAGTAAGTACTTAAAATTGAAACAAAGAACAGTTGAAGAACTTTCTTGGTGATTTAATTGAAACCTTTTCAAATTTATGTGCAAATAATTTGCATGTCAACCTACAAACATCCTCAGCCAAGGAATTTTCCCACACACAGACACACCTATGAGTACTGAGTTGCAGAGATAGGTATATTTGTATAATTCTACTATATGCTTCATCCCACTGACCATTTGACCACGCGGCATAATTTAGACAATTCCCTTCATTTATTATGAAAAATGCACTCAATTTATATGACTTGATTATATTTGCTTGGACCCCAGCGCTATATTTGCTTAAGCAGCACGCCAACTTGACATTGTCTGCCTATGGGCGATCAGCTAGAAAGAGCTAAACGGAAAGGGAGATAGATACCTATAGTATAGTATATGGTGTACAATAAAAAAGAAATAGCTAACAACTACAACAGCTATGGCTGCAGGCGCACCCCACGCCAATTTATTAAAGCCAACACCAACACCAAGTCCAAGTCCAACTCGGAGTCAGAGTCAGAGTCCGAGGCAGGTTGCTCAGTTGCCAGTTGGCAGTTCCTCGACGACTCGATATGAAAAATTGCAGAAAACTGCAAACGCGCATATGCGAAATTCATAATTCATTTAACATTTTGTAAATCATTTGTTTGAATAGCACGATGACGACGCTGACTGGTCTTTGGTCCCGGAATGAAAGTGAACTACGAAAATAGCAAAAATGGACAACTGCAACCTGCAACTGGCAACTGGCAACAGGGAACTGTGAACTGGCAGCTTGCAACCTGCAACCAACCTGCTCCACTCACTCGCCCCCTTCCATGGCAGCAGTTAAGCTATTCGTCTGCTCTGACAAATCGGCTATACATTGCGTCGGAGCAATACAATGGCGTATGGCGTGTCGGCAGAGTCTTCTTCGCCGTCGCCGTCGTCGTCCTCGTCGTCGTCTTCATTTTTATTTCTTTCTTTCTTATTCTTTAACTGAACTCATGACGCGGCGCAAATATAATTTCACAACTGTCTGCACATGGCCCGGGCTCCACCAAACGAAACGAGACACACGAACGCCAATGCCAATGCCAGTACCAGTCGTCGTCGTCTTCGGAGTTGGAGTCGAAACGCCGTCCAAGTCTCAGTCTCTCAGTCTCTCAGTCTGTGTCTCGGTCGCAATCCAAGTCTGAGAGACCAGGACCAGCCATAAGTCACACGCTGCTGGCAAGGCAACTTTTGGGTCTCTAGCACCCTCGATCAAGGGCATTATAACTATTTCAAGACGTTAGTTACTTTCATTTTATAAGCATATTTATGATCATTCAATTCAACTGTGTTATAACCATATACTTATGATGTAAAGAATGTCACGTATATAGAAATAGATTAGAGCAATAAAATAAAGCTATCCAAATTTTATATTCATTTATTATATTTTACATTCATTTATGTAAGTTCTGAAAGACTGATTGAGGCACAGCTCAAACATTTAGAGCTAAGAAACTGTAATTTGGGTAAATTTTGTACTCCAAATGAGGAAGAACAGCTGGAATATTTGTGCGGAAAATATTTTAATATTTATTCAATAAATAATTGTTTAATTCATGATTATTATTGATTAGTTTTGCAAAACTAAACCTTTGAACTATAAAATAGTAAACTGTAAAGCCTAAAATTTGGTTCAATTTATGCAAAGTTGATCTTTAAAAGGGGGATAAGAAGAGCTGTCACTTTAGTGTGGCAAATGTGTTATTTATTATTCGATTGACTTTACATTTTTTTCTTTCTTACATTTTTTAAATTTCTACGCAAATCCAATTATAATATTAATAATATTTGTTGGGCTTAATTCTTTTACCTTCTCTGATCACTTAATTAAAAACAATTTTATTGGCATTTCAATTCTGGAAACTTGCCATCGATCGATATTATAACAGGCAAGCTTTTTTCCTATAGAGTTAAAAAACTTATACATTTTTGTTCACATACTAAAAATGAAATGACAAATTGTTAGAATTGATAAAAAACTCCAATTCCTTTCCAGAAAATAAATAAATAATACTATGTTGTCTGGATGTGAGTCTGTGATACTCCCTCCTGAAAGTTCAAATATATTATTAAATAAAGTTAAAACTTAGAACTACTATTCTCTATTCTTTCTATTTCCATTGCAGAGCATTAAATAGTCTACCAGCCTTTGCATTAGCAGATTATTTTGGCTTGGCGTTTGCCTTGCTTTTGGGGTATGGTCTGCAAAAGCGTAGTTACTGTTGTTGTTGTCTGTGGAACCTTTTTATTTTATTATTATTATTTGTTGCATATGAATATCGTTTTTGTTGGCATTGCCATTCCTGTGAAATTTGCATGATCGCTCGCTCGTTCCAGCTTTTAGGCCTCAGCTCGCTGAGCTAATTTAGTTTGGCCCTCCGTCTTATTGAAAAATTACAAAGTTTTGTACGCATGCCGAGGCATGCCCCACAGCCCGCCTTGGCTGCCTGCCCCGCCATC